AGCTTTTCCCCTGGAAAAGGCTGAGGAGGTACATACCCTGATGGACTGATATGTGTTTATGTTCATTGGACCTCACTTTTGTCAGGGGAGTTGTTCACAGCTAAGACATGCAGGAGCATTTCTGTGCTTCTGTGAACATCTCTCATGTTGAATAATGAATTAAATGTCGTCTAGCATGTGACAACATCCGAACCACCCCAATCTGGGTGTTTCCTCCAAGCTAAGTTTCTTATTGTTTCTTGAATACACTGATTTAGGCCAGGCGCAGTCTTTGATTGAGTTTTACAGGGCCCAGTATGCCAAGGTCTTGATCCATGACTAAAGCTCTTTGGCATTACTAGAGTAATAATAACAAATTGTTCAGTAAAGCAATCTTGGCACCTCCCTGTAAAGCATTTCATTGTAATTCCAGTCCAAAATAGGGTAACAGATTAGAGTTTTTTTTGAGTGTCAGACTACGTTATGTAGCACTCAGTCCACATCATGCTCACATCCCACCCACAACCCCGTTACTCTCTCACAAAATCTTACTATGCTGTATGGAGACAGTAGGATTCCTCCCACAATGACTCCTCCCAAATATCAGGACCTGTTTAGGCCCCTGCTGAGCAGGCAGTGCAATGGCCCTTTTCCCCCCATTCAGTTAGCTCCTTTCCCACGTATGCAATGCCATCACGAGTACCAGGCTGGTCAGAGAAAAACAGATAATAAAGGGCACCACTCATGTATAAGAAAACATCCACTTATGTTAGCAACCTAAAACAATCCCAGTATCTCAAAGTATGTTCACCTTTACCCATGCAGTTCAGCGAGGCACCACCAGCACAGGGCACCATTGCAGCACCAGTTTAGAGCACCACTCACAAGAGTTCCCTCAGGAATTCTCTGCAGTTCTTTCATCATGTTGGAACAACAGGTAAATCCTGATGTTTGGTAACCTCTTTTTGTACATATGTAATGCTTGTAAGATACAGTCTATTCCCTGTTGTCTCCCTTTCTTTCTCAGATAAGAGCTGTCACCCTTACTGTCCTAAAGAATGTGGCACTGGGCTGGAACTGGTGAATGAACATGTTCTAATTTGTAAGATCATCCAGTATTCAAGCTCACTCCTTTCATTCTGCCAATGTGTGTGCCCATATTGTAGGAGAATGACAACCCTTTCTTTTTCCCTTTACAACTAGGAGCAAAGTAGAAATTTCCAAAAAGACCGTATCCCTTTACCTCCACTGATCTTAATACTTGGGCAGTTCTTTTTGATTTTCTATCATTAAACAATCCAAGAATCTACCTTGGACTACCTTGGAAATATGGCGAAGAGTTCAGCCTCATACTCCCCTAGACTCTACTCCCAGCACAGAAGAAAAAGAGATGAAGAGCATTTTAGAATCAGCTGTACCCAAGGGTGATAACAGCCTAGAATTGTAAACTTTTAGTTAAGCTTGTGGATAAAACACCTCAGATGAGGTATCTGTATACATGTAAATCTGTGAGCTGAGTACCTAAACTCCATTGTAATCAACAGAGATTTAGGAGCTCTGTACAGTTGGCTATGCATGGATAGCCATCACTGGTCCTTTGAGATGCTCTAGGATGTACTGTGTGGCCTCCACCTGCAGGTCCAGAAAGCCCTAAGTCACCCGTAGATACAGCATCATATCTGCCATGCCTGATATTGTAAGATATCTTAGGAAGAGTTGAACACCACTTGATGTCTAAGTTTCAGCAGAAAAATCAAGTTTCTAGATCTCCATGGGCTATAATAGAGTCAAAGCATCTAACTCACAGACATCTAGATGCCTTGTTCTACAGGCTCAATTTCATTGAATGATAGCTATGGTCCTAGTATTTTCTAGACAATATGAAAATAACATAAGTTGTATTATTTTGAAGAGGGTGTTTGCAGCAATTTTTTTTTCCCTAACTTACTCTTGGAATCAATGTATACAGAAACATTGGGTTGAGGGGGTTATTCTTCAGCCTTAACATATAAGCTGTGCTTATATGTAGGTTTGCCCTGACATCCTGGGAAAACTGTCTCTCTTCTCAAAGAGAGACTTCTTTTCTCTCATCCAGAAGACAGGGAGTGTTGGTGGTATGCTGTAAAATCAAGGGGCCTTTCATTTTGTTATGTTTTTCTTCTCTCCTCAACCTGCAATAGTATATCAAACAGAGGTTTTCTCTGTACAGCCTGAGTGCTCAGAATATTTCACTACTGCTTTCTCCATTTTGCCCAGAAGGGAACCTGAAATCCACGGAAAAAGATCTGACCGAATACCTCATATTGATTTTCACTTCTCTTGACTTGTAGATGACATTTTCTTCCACGGGTCTTCACATCTTTTATGCATATATCTCTTTCCATGTAAAGTCCCATATTCTGTGGTCCTTGAGGCAGATCAGAACCCTTGAGGGAATGTTTTTGTCCAGTTTCCTTTTTTTTTTTTTTGATTGCTTGCCCATTGTATGCAGTAAAGTATGAAAATTATTTTTGCAATGAATCTTCCTTCTGTGATAAAATGCTTACACCCAGTTCAGTGCCAGTTAATGATAGGCCATTTATAAATTAATTGAAGTGTTGAAAAGGATAATTTATACTTAGACTAAACAGGTTTGAGTAAATGTTTTAGACTTTTCAAGGTTCTTATACATATTTCAGCTAAGAATAAAAGGCTTCCTCTGTTTTCTTCACATCAGGTCAACTCTTCTTTCAAAAGGCTAATCTTTCCATGACTTAGACTTTGCATAAAAAGGAATTCTTTTTATGCAAAACAAATCACATTCTTGCTCAGGTATTTCCCCACAGACTTGCCCTGTTTTGGGGACCTCCTCAAAGGCATTAAGTTATTGGATTCACAAGGTAAATGAGGTACAGAGCTCCTGCTTCTACCTTAACTCCAGTAACCCTTAAATAACATATCACCTCCAGAATGAGACCCCTTTGTCTCTGCCGTCACAGATCCTGATACCTGAATGATGGTGAGATGCTAAATAGAAGTTTTACTTTCATTTAGAAATAGAGAGTTACATGCTAGCCTGGAGGAGGTACATAAACCAATTACTGGGGTGGAAGGCTTGTCAATGACTTATTGTTTTTCACAGATCACAGACTGTTCCAGCTATATAATGTTGGCTCTGGTGGTCAACGAAAGATAGACAGGGATCTCTGATATTTTTGGGAAGACTCTAGATCAATTTTATGTTTGCAGGGAGCAGTGACATATGAGCTACCATGAATAGCACTAGGGCTGCTACGAACTCCCAGCCAGCTGGTGGCAAGGTGGCCGAGCCAGATCGTCTTCCCAGCAGCCTGTGTAACTCCAGCATGCTGCTGTCATTAATGTTGTTCATTAGTTCAACAGGCAGTGTGGCCACGGGGAAGGGGAAAGGGACTGAGATGCATCTCAGCATTATCTTCTTCTTTGACCATTGCTTCACTTTCTTTTTACCTTTTCCTAAATTTTATCCATCGAATTTGGCTTATTTTATTTCGTGCAAACTTGTGTGCCTACAAGCAGATACCTCCCTGTACATATAATGCTCTGCAGGCTCCATGGGTCACTTCTCACAATATGACCCTTCATTTCTGTGCGTTATCCTTCATCTCCATATAACAGGGTAATGCCATTTAAATATTATGTAGATAGGTATCTCACAACCAAGCAATTCATCTACATGCATAAATACATAATCTCACTGAAACGATAGCTATTGGAAATTTTCAGTACCTGTCACTTTTGTTGATGTTAACAGTCAGAGTTCACAAATATTGGTAGCCAGCGAGCCAGACGTCTTCATGGTGGATGAAAAGCCCACAGAGAACCCCCTGAGTTTTTACACACTTTAGTCTTACTCTTCCTGGAGCAATGGCAGCTTCCATGGCCTCAGGAGAAAACACCAAAGTCTGACCGAGTCTGAATGAATGTAAATACAAATAGAAATGTCAGAGGTGAAAACAGTGTCCTGGGATTTCTGTTTTTGTCTGAGAAAAAGTAAATGGTCAATGAAAGGGCCTTTGTCCAAAGAGGTAGAAATGATCAAGAAGGAGGATACAGATGACTTTGGCAAGAGGAGAAGAGCAGGAGAGGAGAGAGCTGTTCTTTCTTCTGCTTCTATTACCCATTTTCTTCTCCCACCTTCATCCTTTCAACACTTCCCTTCTACTGCTACCCCATTGTCTTTTCCCTCATTGCTTCATGCTCCCTGTCCCATACTTCCAATACCTTCCAGTATCCACGCAGTCCAGCAGAGCATCTGGAGGGTAGAGGGAGAACACGGGCATCAACTTCCAGAGGGTTGAAGAAGAACATGGGCATCAACCTCCAGCTCTCACAGTGCCACCATTGCCATGCATGGGTGCAACCACACTGCTGCAGGGCTGGATCAGTGCAGTGAGCCTCCCAGAGGCTGGGGAGGGCTGGTGAAAGGGCAGGGGGCTCTCTGCATGGGACTGCAGTGAGTGGCACTGCTCAGGAGCTGGCCTGTCTGTCTATCTCTTTGGGCCTGTCAACTCGTCTGAGCAATGGGTGCTTTGTGGGGTTATTTTTGCATTGCCTTTGCGGGGTGTTCACAGTGCTTGAGCCCGCCAGTAGTGTCCCAGGCCTCCACCGTGCACCACCCTAACACAAAACAGCACCTTCCCCTTTGGGGGCAGCCCCCAACCGCCCCATCACCCCTCCCACATCCAACCCCCACCGCCCCCCATTTCATGGTGCCGGCTGCGCCAACCACCTCTACCACCCCAACCCCAGCACCGCGACCGCACCTTGGGGGCAGGACACAAAGCCCAGCCACCCCCGGGGTGCCCGGCACCCCTGGCGGGGACCCCTCGCCCCCATCCCTGCCGCACGTGGGTACGTGCCGGCGCTGCGGGCCGGGGGGGCAGCGCGGCTCCTCCTCCCCGGGCGCCCGGCGGCGACTGGGCGCCGAGGCTGCGGCGGGCGGGCGGGGGGCGGCGGCGGCAGCGGCCTCCAGCGGGGCCGGGGGGCGGCGGGGAGGGGGCTGCGGGCGGGGTCGGCGCCCGGAGAAGGGCGGCAGGCGGTGTCTCCGCCCGAAGAAGAAGCCGGGCTTCGCCGGGGGCCGGCGGTGCGCTCTCCCGCCGCGGGGCCGCACAATGGCAGGCGCTCAGTAGGATGGATCCTGCCGTGGCTTTTGTTCTGCGGATCCACCCATCCTCCTAGCAGTCAAGTGCCAGGCTATGGTTTTCTCCTCGGGGATCTCTCCGCCGCGTTTTGCCGGCGTCTCCGGTGAGGGTTTGGCCTCGGCTGGGATTTCGCTACCTTACTTTTCGTTTGGCTTCGCGCTGAAAAAGGGGATTTTTCTTATTTTTCTTATTTATTTTTCCCTCTCCCTCTCTCTCTTTCCACGCTTTTGGTTATAATCCAATGTTGATCTAGGGGGAATAACCATTCAGCCTGGCTGAAAAAAGCATCCATTGAAAAGTCTCAAAGAAATATACCACGTGAGGAAAAAAAAAAAAAAAACTGGGAGAAGATCGGAATATAATCATTTTTTCTATGATAAAACTGGTGCCCCTCTTCAGGAGAACTGGTCTCAATTTATTATTATGCAACCACAAGGATCTCTTCTTTCTCAGGGTGTATAAGCTGCTGGATTGCTTTTCGCCCAAATCAATGTGGTTTCTTTGGAACATTTTCAGCAAAGGATCGCATATGCTGCAGTGTCTTTGTGGCAAGAGTCTTAAGAAAAACAAGAACCAAACTGGTAAGCAATCCATTGCACTGCGTTGTTTCTCTTTTATGCTACCCTGTCTGTTGCTCGCCGAGGTAGATCTGCAATCCTGCTGAGGGGAGAAGGGGGAAATGTAACGAGGCCGGCACGGACATGCATGTGCATACGTGTATGAATAAGCAAGGAGCAGCACGGATTAGCTTCAGCCCCTGTCACCACGGAGGAAAAAGATAATCCAAGGCGACCCTATAGCCCGGTCCGCATCTCCTAGTTGCCGTGCGCTATTTCCGAGGAGGAAACTTTGTTCTCACTGCCCTTTCCGAGGGGCGGCCGGTAGCGCCCACCCTCCCGGCTCCCGGGGGCGAGCCCCCCGGGCACTGCCCCTGCGGGGCGCCCGCTGCGGGGCCGAGCAGCGCGGCCCCGCCGTGCCCGTGCGAGCCGGCCCCGCTGCGGTGGTCGAGGGGCTCCGGGGCTCCGGTCCTGCCCCGCACTTTGTGCTCAGTCGCCCCCTCCACACCCACCCGCCTCGTCCGGCTTTGCCCAAACCGAGCCCGGCACCCCCCGCCCCCGGATGGGGAAAGGAGGGGGGGGGTCCCTGCTTATTACTCCCCCTCCCTCCGCCGGGACTTCAAGCCAGGGATGTGGAGGGGGCGTGTGTGGGGGGCATGGACCGGGGGTGGCCGCTCGCCCGGGGTTTGTGCCCTAGACGGCAGCCGAGCACGGCAGCAGCACGGCCGGGGTGGCTGCGCCTCCTCCGGGATGCCCCCTCCGTGCACACCCGCCGGGGGCCGTGCCGTGCTTCTCCATTTCTGCCTTGCTGCCGGCATCATGCGCTTCCCTTCAGCCCGGCTCCGACAGGGAAACTTGCGGTGCATTACATAAGAAATGTAAATGCGGGTGCCCCGGGCCGCCCGGCCCCGGGGGGAGAGGGGGGGTCACGGCTGCCGCTGTTGCATCCCTCCGGCTCCGGGCGTCCGGCTCGGAGGGAGGGGAGGGCTGCTTTTCGGGGAAATACCGGCCCTCCTTGCCTAACCCCCCCAAGCCTCGGTCCCCCCCCTTCCTCCCTGCTCGCTCCCCCGGCCAGCGGGTTGTCTGCAAGCACTTCGTGCCGGGGGAGGCGAGAGCTGCCGGAGCCCGGGCTGCGTGGGGAGGGATGCTCTGCGTGTGCGTGTGTGCCGGCTGCCCTGCAGTGGCAGCTCCCGAGCAGGAGGCTCCTGACGCTGGCACTGCAGTGTAGTAGATCATAGGCTCTCCTCGCCTCTCTGACACCCCAACACCGCCAAGCAGCAGCCCCGGCAGCCCGCACCCCTCTGCTCCCCGGCCAGCCGGGGGCCGGACCCCGCTTTGCCCGGCTCGCAAAGGTGCGGGGAGTCGCGGTGGGCACCTCGGCGGATTTTTTGTGCCCCCTCCCGTTCTCCCCGCTCCTGCTTTGCCAGCTCGGCTCCCCCCTTCCCTCCCCGTCGCTGCAGCAAAGAGCAGCCACTTCTCAGCATACCAAAGAAGCCGAAATGCCCCGCTGGGGGCTGGGAAGCGGCCGCAGCCTCCCGCAGGCCGCCCCCGGCTTCCCTCGCCCCTTCCCTCTGCACCGAGACGCCCCCCCCCGGGCCGGGGGCAACTCCAAGCTCCTTGCCCTCGCTCGGGGCAGGGGCAGCCTCGCAGCCCTCAGGCGCCTGCCCCTGCCCGGCCCCGGCCGTGCTTGAAGGGGCCGTGACCGCAATGGGGGGGGGGGCTTCTGGGGGAGAAACGGAGCCCGCTGCCGCCCTCCGGGGGGGCCCGCACCAGCGCCGCCGTGCCCTGAGCGAGAGGCGATGCTGATGCTCCTGGGAAGGGTTTTGGGAGCGGAGGTGGTTTCTAGACCTTTCAGTTAGCAGCCCCGGGGGAGTGGAGAGGCGTCACACCCCCCCTCTACACCCCCAGGCCCCCAAAAGGGTGGGCTGGTGGCAAACTGCACCTGAAGCCGAGAGGCGGCCCTGGGAGTGTCGGGGCTGGTGGCCCCCCGGCCGGGGTCGTGGTTCCCTCCGTCCAGCCGCTCTCCCATCTTCCCCCCGGAGGAGGAGACACCCTGGTCCCTAAATCCCGGCTCCGGGCAGCGCTGAACGGCGACTGCTCGCAAGAACTGGGCCGAGTAAGGGGGTCTTGGGGTACCGGGGGCAAATCACCTCCAGCTGCCGTGCGGTGCCCGCAGCAGAGCGGGGAGACGGGGCCGCGACGCCCCCCGGGGGGGGGGCTCCCTTTCCTGCCACCACCCCTCTCCTTCGCCCGCAAAACTTTTTAGGATCGGCGGGGCTCCTCGCTCTCCAAAAGGCTGCAACATGGGCGAGCAGCCGCTGCTGAGCCAGCCAAGGGGAAAAGCGGGCAGGTTAGGCAGCTGAGATTTCAGTTCGTTCAGTTATTTGCGGCCTGATGGCATTCATTTATTTATTTATTTCTGTATGGGTCCCTCACAACGGCTGGTCTCTTTCCAGAAACGGGTTTCCAAATGTTCTTTGCTTTGCATTTCCACCCCGTGGCTGGCTTCAGCCCTCTTCCCCCTGTGCTGACCTCCTCCGGGGCTCACCTGCTGTTCCCCGGGGGGGGGGGGGGTTCCTGGCACAGGGCAGGGTCCGGAACCAGGGCAAGAGGGGCAGGAGGGATGGGGAGCCCCGCGGGAGGTGTCAGAGCTCTGGCAGGGTTGCGGCAGGAAGCTTTGGTTTGTCTGTCGTGGAAATGCGTCTGGCTGAATGCAGTGTTTCAGGTCCGAGATCCTGGAAAGAGGAGTAGCCTGTGAGCACTACAGTTGTTTACCTCTTTATGTTTCTTCATGAGGAGGAAAACTTTGAGGAACCGTAGGTGTGGCTTTGCTGGCACTGATTGACTTTTTTGTTTTCTTCCTGGAGTTTAGTAATGCACACAAAAAGCGATGAAGCCCCATGTAGCTTCAGCGTCCTGCCCAGCATGAAAATATTTCCAACGTGTTAGGTTCCCTGGGCCTGACTTGCAGGTGTAATTACTCCCACCTAACTCAGCCACTATGGCTTGTCACACACACACACAGGACTTCACAAAGTGTGGGACTAAAGGAACACTTTCTCAGAAAGAGTTAAACATTGCTTGAGACCACAGGGCCTGTAACGGTGAGATGCCATCCTGGTGGCTTGCCCCTGTGGCTCTGCACAGTGCATGTTCTGCTAGTGAATGGCTAAGTTTTCAGGAGAATTTGGGGCTTGGGAGGATATGGGGAAGGTGATTACCCCTGGGTGTTTTTTTCACAGGAAGTGACTAACATTTTTTACCAGGTGACAGCTGCTAGGTTGCCCATGGGAGATGGGATATTTCACTGGGGTACGAGATGCCCCCATCGCTATCACATTTCACTCCTGGTGGCAGCCCAGCAGGCAGAGGATGTATCGCGTTTCCTCTCCATTTACCTCCAAGGAGAGGCATCTCTCCAACTCAGTCAGGGGTGTTGACAGAAGAGTAGATGGAAATTGGCATTACTATAAATATATTGCTGATAGAGGAATTTAGTTTCTGTTAGTATCAATCCTGGATCAATCTCAAGCACAAAACCTATTTAAAAAGAAGAACATCTGACATGCGAGCGGTGTCTAAACTGGGATCTCCGTATAATCCCCATAAAGCAGTCAGGCTGCTCCTTCATGGTCACTTATCATCTTGAAAAAGTTTCCAAGCATAGTCATGCGAGACTGAATCTGTTTAAAACAGCAACTTGGGTCCTGGTCATAAAATATATAGTGTGAGTCATTATCTGAATTTGAAGCAAATTGGGGCCACCCGCTGCGTTTCTTACTCATGGAAAACAAACCTCCCACCGAAAGGCAAAGGACCCCAGTAAGAGCTGTGGGATTGGGTCCTTGGAGTTTCTTTCAAGCAGGTCTGAAAAGCATCTCTGACTGCCTAAATACCGTAATTCCTGTGCTGTTATTAGAGCCATGGTGTGTTTCTCTCACTCAGATGTAAAATTGCCTATTTACATGTATCTCACCTACTGAAGTTTTGTCCTCTATGGAATACATTTTGTGAATTTATACAAATTTGATTATTGTTGAGCAAATTAGATTGCATGTTCTACTTGTTAAGGGGTGAAATTTATGCCTGCTCATGAATCTCCCTACTGTGATAAAATGCTTATACCTCAATGTTCAATGTCTGCTAATGATAGGCCATTTATAAATGAATTCAAATATATAAAGGATGACTTAGGCTTGGAGAAAATATGAAAAATACATTTACAGAAATAATTGGTTTAAATGTTTATGTGTATGCCATTTTCCTTTAAGAGTGATGTTTATTCTACTTATTTACTTAGATTATGTTAAGTATATTAATTTTGAGCTAAAATCCCCATTGACTTCAAATTCAGGTAAGGAGTGATTTAGACATTCAGAATTTGTCCCTTTCTTTGCAAAGATTTTCCCTCCTGTAAATGTCTATAAAAATGTAGTTTGGAGAGGAGAGAGCTGCTTGAAACTGTAAAGCAGTTTTTCAAGAGGACTTGATGAAAATTAAGGAAAGAAGCAGCTGGGCACTACAGCAACCGTGGGACGGTATTTTGCGGTTTATGGGGTCATTATTGAAATTTCTCTGTAATTGTAGAGTGAGATGCTGCAAGTGTAGAAGGTGGTTGGACAAATGAAGTGGTTGTGTGCAAGTTAAACTGTGCTGAATATTCACAGAAGTTAGCCAAATGAGATTGTGAGTGCTGAGTCCTAGTAGAGCAGGCTTCATGCAGCCAGGGCTGGTCTTGGGTTCATTTTGGGTTCATTTCTATAACTAATTCTGTTTAAGATCTCCCTTGGGATTTTGAACACACTATTACTGCCCTATGTCTTGTTTGCTGGCTTGTTAAAAATTACAGACATGACCAACATTGCAAAAGCATGCTGCTGATATATGTTTTTTTCTCTGTGTTTTGGTGAATGATAGCTTTTTAAAGACAAATTAGTAGTTCACTAAACAATTTACTTATTAACAAAACACCAAATGCTTTTAAATTTGGAAAATCTCTGTTGTGGGGAAAGAATAAACAAACA